TGAGCTCGCCGGCGTTCGGCGCCATTATGTGCACTCCCAGGATCTTATCAGTCTCCTTCTCGGCGATGATCTTGACGATACCCTCCGCATCGTCGATGGCCTTCGCCCTGCTGTTCGCCATGAAAGGGAACTTGCCGACACGGTAATCTGCTCCGGCGGCCTTAACCTGCTCCTCCGTCTTCCCGACATAAGCCACCTCAGGATGAGTGTAGACAACTCCAGGCACCAGATCGTAATCTACGTGACCTTCTTTTCCGGCGATGAATTCCACACAGGCGACACCGTCTTCTTCGGCCTTATGCGCGAGCATAGGTCCCGGAATCGCGTCGCCGATCGCGTAGATTCCCGGAACACTCGTCGTGAACTTGTGATCGACGATGATCCTGCCAGATTTGTCGGTCTGTATGCCGATTCTTTCCAGGCCAAGCCCTTCGGTAAAAGGGATTCTGCCAGCAGAGACGAGAACTACATCGGCTTCGATCGTGTGTTTCTCGCCGCCATCAGCTGCTTCGAGTTCGAGCTTGACACCATCTCCAGATGTATCAACCCCTAAAACCTTTGTTTTGAGAAGGAACTTCATCTTCTGCTTCTCGAGCATTCGTTGGAACTGCTTTCGAATCTCGCTATCCATGGTCGGCACAATGTCTGGCGCGAATTCGACGACGGTGACTTCGGATCCGAGACGCCCCCAAACGGATCCCATCTCGAGGCCGATGTAGCCGGCTCCAATCACAACAAGCTTCTTCGGGATGGTTTGGAGGGATAGGGCTCCGGTGGATGAGACGATCTTCTTCTCGTCGATGATGACTCCGGGGAGGGATTTGACGTCGGAGCCGGTGGCGATAATGATGTTCTTCCCTTTGATGGTGGTGGTGCTGCCGTCGAGGGTGTCGACGGAGACTTCGGAGGGGGAGGCGAGCTTTCCATGGCCTTTGATGTAGGCGACTTTGTTCTTCTTGAAGAGGCCTTCGATTCCGCGAGTGAGGCCGGATACGGCTTTGTCCTTCTGAGCCATCATGGCGGGAAGATCGACTTCAAGTTGGGAGAACTTGACGCCATGGTTGGC